TGGTTACACTGTGCGTGCGACGCGTCCAAGTTTATTTTAAACGTAATCACGTAGTCAGATACATAAGTATACGATTGACCGCAGTCTCGTAATTATTTAAACAGACCCGAGTACATAATTTGATTTTGAATAAATATCAGTTCCGAGAATAACCGAAGGATATCGTAAAAGAAATGCAGCAACATCGACCGTAAATTCTTGAAAACGACTCCTCTTTCAGTGGTTTTCTCTGTAGACACTCTCGCACGCATTATCTAATCTAATTATTTCACTGGACAGTAGATATATAGGTATTGTACATGCCAGATTTACTTTCCATGGATATTTCTGCAAGCCGGCAAATTCTCAAACAATCTATCGAGCAAATTAGCGGTAAGATAACGTTGACAGAGATAAATCGATTCGCGTTGTCGCGCGATATTATATATAATTATTATATATAATTAGTTTGTGAAAGCTAGTTAATCGATAAATACGATATATAAAAAATAAATACAATATATATCCGCGCGTGCCCCTTGAAAGGCTCTATTATAAAAATAATAGAGCCTTTTTTCTTATTGTTTATAGTGCAGATATTTAAAGTCTCCTCAATAAATATTGATTTTCAATTTTCAAAACTAACATTTTTCAAAACAAAGTAAAAAGGTTCTACTGTCTGAACATCTTTTCGCACGAAGAAATCGTGCTTTCTATTGCTTGTACCATCGTTACTTTGTACATGCGTGCGTATGTGTGTCGAACCCGACATGTGCGCTATTTCGCACGGTCATCGACGCGATATAGCTCAATATGAGTATACATGGACGCGGAACAGGAGAATGAATGCATCAACTGTGCACCAGGGGAGGAACCGCAAGCCGGCAGGCAGACAAGCGGGTAGGCAGGCAGGCAGGCAGGCAGGCAGGCAAGCAAGCAGGCAGGCAGGCAAGCAGGCAGGCAGGTAAGAAGAAGGTAGGCAAGCGGGCAAGCGAGCAGGCAGGTAAAGACAGGTAAAGGCAGGTAGACGCAGGTAGGTAGGTGTGTCCATGCCAGAGCGCCGAGTGTGGGCCAGTCCAGTTATTTGAGACGGATAAGAAGTTGAAAAAAATGAAAAAAACGCGTACAAGCGCGAGAGCGGATATAAGTGTACGGAAGGATGAAGAGGAGGAGGAGGTTTGCAACAGAAATTGATAGGACGCTACATTAATGCAGTATCTTCGCCAGTGTTATCCAAGGGTTGATAGGGTGGGAGAGTGAGGGAGAGCAGAAAAGGATACATTCGGTGTCTCGTACGAACATCAGCTCCTTCGCGCTCTCTTTGTCACTCGGCTATTCCTCCCGCTTTCGCTTATCGCTCGTTTGCTACGCTGTCCGAATAACGTTGTCATGCGCGAAATAATATTAACCCTTTGGCGAGTCGCAGGTATTCGCATGGAATTACTTGCTGATAAGAACGACAGTTTGACGAGATAACGATTTTTGGAAGATTTCGTTTGCTATAAGCAGCTGAGTGCTTTTAATTATTGGAAGAATAAACGAGAGAAAGAAAAAGAAAGAAAGGGTAAAGGAGAGGAGAGAGAAGGGGAAATCCCTCTGTAATTTCTCGTGATGACATCGATGGGTCAAGAACGACGTTCTCGCTTGATTTACAACGGATAATATACGGTCCATCGTCCACGTAATGGATCTCTTAATTACGTCGTTTCATTTAGACGATTAGACGATCGCCGCCTACGTTTCCTCGGATCTCGAAAAGTCTCCCAGATAAATCTGCCTAATTTATGAAAATGTATTCACTACGAGAATTCATTTGAGTGGGCCACGACGTCTCGGCTTTGAGCAGCGTCGTAACGAGTTTTCAGATCGACATCGATCGATGCACCTAATTATATTGAATTACAATCGTATCCGTTATATCATTAACATTTGACACGCACGACACGCGATTGTAATTGAATCACAGGTGGAGAAAAAAATGACATGAATTTATGTTTATCTTAAAAATATTTTGACATTCAGAAATAAACTCCTAAAGGCATCTGTATTTAATTTTCTTTCACGATATAAATAAATAAGAATTATCTTCAAAGATCTGAATGAACGCTTATGTACGATGCTACCAGAAATTTATATTCTGTTCATTCATAGCTTTTTTTTTTTAATTAGCAACATAAATCTTAATCACGACTCGACGGTTATCTCCATGTTGTTTGATAATTTTGTTCGATGCGGTTTTAAATGTATCAATCGAACTTTGTTTAATTTGAGACTTCTCTGCTTCTACACATATGCTCGCAAATTACATAGAATACATAATGCAAGTGTTTTAAGAGCAGGAAAATATTTTAAAGCATATATATCGCTGCATTTAGCTTCGGCATGTCGAGCGGCCCCGTTAATTTCACTAATTAAGTTAGCAACTGACCGCCCTGCCTGTTCCATCTTGTATCCTCTCTCCCACTGTCTCTTATAAGCGTTATTTATACTTTTTTGCGCATTAATTTCTGGTCTTCTTATTTCTCGTCCGACTTCCTCGCGTCGCCGCTTATTTTCTTTCTCTGCTTTGCGTCTGTGTCGTCGAGCGTACGTAAACGTTTTCGCTCTTTTAAAAAACATACCGTATGGGTTTTCTTCGATTTTAAATTCTATGACATTTTCAATTTGCTGATGTGACAACAGTAAAGATTTTAATAAATATTTACACGTATTTTCGCGATGTCACGTCTACAAAACGCACTCCGTCTTGTGTAAACTTTAATAAAAAGGCAGTGATGGTCATTAATTAAAATGCTAAACTCGTAATTAGTTGTTGCATACATATTTGTGACGTACGCAAATATCTCACGTAATCATAATGTTCTCTCCAATCTCTTTAGCAGGATTTTACAATGTATATATACGCACTTTATTCAGCGTGGAATTCCAGAAGTCACCCACGAGCCTCTCGATGATGACAGACGAGGCTTGTACAATGGCAAGAGTACGGATAACAAAGTACGATCATCTCGTTGCGCGTCGTAAATCATATTGTATTTACCAAGCTTCTCTGATTCTTCTACCTCGGTGGTTTAATCCGTTCGGTTAATCATGAAAAATCGCTGACTTGTACCATTACGAAGCGCCGCGCTGTTACATCTGCTCTTCTTCGCATACAGGACGTTTTAAAAGCTCTTTTATTAGAAATGGAAAAAAAATAAAATAAAAAATATCTTGGTCTCTCAGAGAAATTATTACAATTGTAATTAATTTTTCTTTTAATGGAAATTTTTCCCTTAGTTGTATTCTTTCTTTTTAAAATCTAAAAGGTTCGACGAGGTCTGACATCTCGAGATGTAACACGCTATACATATAACTGAGTGATATTCCTTCGATGTGGGACATTTATCCCCTCGACTCACATTTGTAATATTTAATGCCGAGATGACAAATGTGTCGCATTTAACAATATTTTTGGATCACATATCAGCTTCCACTCAGGGATTATCTTGTTCTCGAATATATTTCGTCGTTTGTCATCGAATCGATCTGTCACTACGATGCGCAGCTTGTTGATATTAAGTTATTCCTTTCCTCATAAAAAATTAAGAAACGATTAAAGATGTCTGCTCATATATCGAGCACATTTTTAAATAATTATACTTTGCAAGAGACTTTTTCTCTTTTAACTACAGATAAAATAACGATGAGATTGTACAAGTTTAATCTTATTTTAGAATACTGAAGTTTAGAATTATTTAGAAAATTGATTTGGAAGAACATATATATTAAAGAATATATATGTATATTAAATATGTTTCTAAATATTAGTTTTTTTAATCGCCAAGGACACAGGATAAACCTGGTGTTCGAACATAAGTTATGTACTTGGAGTGCAAGTTGTAGTCACGATGAAATGGTAACACGAGAAACCAGACCCTATTTTATACCGGAATGTGATGTGTATGTATGTATAGTCCACTACCACTTGCCATTCCTCTGATTTCCATAGTGATAAAAATGCGCTACCACGTCTCTCATCCGTAAAATTCTAACGCTATAAAAATTCTGACACAGCACTGCCGTAAAATGTCTCTTCGAATTAGCGTTAAAGAGATCTGAATAGAACTTAATTTAAGAATTTTCGATTTTGAGCTTCAAGAGAAAAATGAAGGAGTTTAATATTTTTATCAAAGGTGATTTTTGGGTGAGGTTTTGAATATTGGCTTAATATTACCATTAATCTTTGGAATACTAATACATTCTTATTGGTTTTATTAAAAAAATAAGAAAAAAAATGATATATAAGAATATATATTACTGAATATTAATGTATATTACCAAACATTATTTTTTTATTAGTTTTTAAAATAAAACTATGAGCTCTAAAAATATTTATGCATGTGAATAATGTCCGTTTTGATTTATTTAAGCAGAATAAATGAAAGAATTAAATATACAATCGCTGATCAATTATTCAATAACTACACGAGAGTAGTAATTTTCATGGTAAAATAGATGGAGAATTTATTAATTTAGTTCTGAAATTATATTTTTAATCGTCGAACCTTCTATAATGACAGAAAACCGTTTAGAATGTAAATGAATAAATTGATGACAAAGTACGAGGATATTAATGAAAAGATCATTAGTGCGGTATGAGTGCGAGTCTAATAGAATGCGGGAATGATGTAACAGCCATGTGTCTTCTTTAACTCGTAATATATGTACTGGATGTTCCAACACGTACGCGACTTACTGATACATAACAGGCAGTAAGCTATACTACTTTATGCGCGCGTTCAAGTGACGGATTCTCATATATCCAAACTTTTCTTTTTTTACGTTTTCAATTGCACAGCGTTTCTATTGCGGATACTTGAAACGTTAACTGCGCAATTTCATCCTGCTACCTACTACTTTACACAGGTAGGAGAGCCTTTCGCGGAGCGAAGAATACAAGTATCTTATACGTATGTAGCATCCACGATATATTACGCGGCGTAATAAATACCAAGTGCTGGTGACAGAACAATTCTTACCCACTACCACCACGTGGCCGAAGACCTGATCGTTGGATACGTGGGAACAGTTCCAACGGTGATGTCGGAACTGGTGCCGGCACTCGCGCAGACCCAATGCGGCGCCTTCGCCCACCGCCGGCATCGCGTGCGGCGCTTTTCTGCACTGCTCGCGCTGACTTTTCGCCAATCCAGGGATGCGGCTGCAGACAGCCGCGCCGACCACCACCGCTCCGACCACCCTGGAATAAAGAGATCCGTCGTGAGAAATACATACGTGTGAGAAGATAAATAACCAAATGTTTCGATGTACGTGTAGAAACTATTTTAATACGAGAATCTTTAATACGAGAGTCTATATTTTTAAGAGGAAGGATTTTTAACAGTTGCCATAAGATATTATAATTATCTAGCTTTATGTTTACCTTTTTCTCGTAAATGGGAAACATGAAACATATCTTGTTTTTGTTAAATAAAATCAGAAACGAGATAGAACTTGCATTAAAAAATTCTTAAGAAGCAAATGAAAAGTAATTAAAAATTTCACGACGATTTATCTTTACCGCCTTAACTTCGATATCTTGACGAGTAAACTATAAACGGAGCGGTTAACAGGTGCTAAAACCGATTCGATGACAAGCTGAAACTTGATATTCTCAGTCTCCTGCTGGTTCATTGCTTAATTTATATCCTATAGCGTTTTTCTTAAGTATTCTTTAAGAAAAGTGATTATCTGTATTTTTAATTCTCTTTTTTTTAAGAAAAGAAAGAATAATAGAAAGACTAGAGACCGATACATCACTTTGAAGATGATTTATAAAATCGTGCGATTCATCCATCATTCCGAAAGAGCTATAAATATACCCTTCATTACGAACCACTTACGATTCTGTTATTCCTTCCCGATCAGCAATGAAATATTAAGGCGCTCTAAAGTACTCGAGGGTGAGTTATCAAGTACTGGGTCGGGGTGGGATGAGGTAAGAGAGTATCAGGCTTCAGAAAGGATCGTAGAAGAGAGGAGATGTAAGGCGAGCAGGTTGAATTTCTGAGAAGCATGAAATTGCGACGATTACGCCGTGTCCCCAGGGCGAGAGATATTTGCATTGGAATGCATCGCGCTGGATCTCGCAGTGGCCGCCGAATCTCTCCTCGTGGCCACGTGGTGGGACAATCTGTAAGATGTCCTGACGACGAACATGAGAAGAAGGGGCGATGGCGTGCCGCCGTGAAAACGAGCCGGTCCGAAATCGCCCGGAGGGATTTCGTTCCTCGTCACGTCGCTTTCGCGAGGCATAAACGAGAAAGACGTTGACGCGAGGGATCCCGTCATCGTTCCCTTCAAAGATTTGGCATGCGCATTCATGATTTCTCGTTGACGGGAAGATGCAATCGAGCAAGGGGCTTGCCGAGATGGAAAAAAAAAAGAAAGAGTAGAACGCTCCACGTCATTTCTCATAATAAATACGAGATAGTGAGAAGGGGGCTGCTCGTTCTTCATGTATTTGATTCCAGTTACGTTGTGACAATGGTCGCTGTGTGTATTGGATTAACTAGAGATGCGCTAGAGAAATTAATTAGAGATGCGATTTGCAGACAAATCTGACGTTATCCAATTGCTAGAAGGCGATAAAGTTAAACGTAAGCGGTTACGTTCTCCTTAATTACGTGCTAGGTACGTTACTCGTTAACCTTAATTAAACACGAGTTGCACCATGACGATGCCCCAAAGGCATGTCATGGACGGACAGGTGATAACGGTTACTCATTTGTCTTCATTGCTTCCTTACTTAGTTAAGATGCACTTTATCACGATTATGTCTGATGAATTGTTACAGCACTTGTCTTTTGACGAAGAAAAATTGACGATTCTAAATTAATAATTGTTTTTATGATTTTTATACTTATATTCCAACTTTTATTTTTAAATAGTCTAATTAGTATTATTATATTTATACACAATTTCGAAAAAAGTAGCTTTCAGTTTTCATGAAATTTGCTGAAAATTTCTCAAATGATTGTAAAAGAATATATGAAAGAATTTTTTTATACAAATGAAATTAGTTGAGATAACGTTGAAGTAGTAAGAGAAATTATTTACAGGGATTTACATTTCAGAGTGATAAGAATAAAAACAAGATTAAACAAAATCGATAATTACACTTTGTTGTATACATTATTTTGACTGAATTTTTATTTACGATAAAAAATCTTTCCAAATATCTGCTCGAAAATATTTTGATGAACTTTTACAAAAAAAATTGTCCTTTGCATTATTATATTAATTAGATTATGTTGAAGACTATTATTGAAGAGTGCATCTGTGTCTTTAGTATGATGATCGAGTAAAAGAGAACAACGGACTCGCGTACTTATGCGCAGCAGCAATCCACACGTAGTCATTAGAGCATAATGTATAACATTACGCCCGTCTCATACGGAGGCTAATGGTGTGCTATTTGCAACAGGGTTCCGCAGCACCGTTCGCCATCGACCGTTAAAGTTGATGTCAGGGCAATTCCAATTATGTACCGTTTATCTCAATTTTTACAAATTTTCAAACATTGTTTTTGTAATCCAATGAAATTAAATTGTTTCTAAAACGATATGTATTTATAACAGATACACTTTTTAATTAAGAAAAGTTTATATACTGTAAAAAAATCATGACAACATTGGACATTTAATATTCCAAAGTAAATTATCTTCATATCGAAAGATAATTAATGTGCTGCTTTTATATGATCAACTATCGAAACGTTTTCTGAATTATTTAATATTACTCAATTTCTTCCAAACAGTTCAGGCGTTTTAAAGAACTATAGAAAAATGTGAATGTGAATGCCTTGAAAATAGAGGAAAACTGAGGGAAAATAATCAGGCTGACGTGTGTAATATTTTGTGTAATAAGCTATCAATAAGCTGTCGTTAAAATACCTTCGTCGATACATGTGTATAGAGGTCGTATATTCTATCCCTTTTCCCGTGGAAAATTGTGTATCAATTTATAGTAGCAAAGAGCCTATTAAGCATTATTAGTTTCAGTTAAGGCACTCCCTCAAGACTAATTTTCGAGTAAGAAATATTGAACCCCTTCGCGTTTACGCTCGCAAATGATATATAATCTAAAATGTAGCGCAATATTTGCAAGCATACTAATACTCCAATCTGGTTTTATTCCCTGGTCGATTTTACTTTGCACGTCTCAATTTCTCGACGCCGACATTTTTTGATAGTATGAGTCACGATCCACTGATTCATCTAGTCGCGGTTACATTTTTTAGAAACAACTTCTGTGTGGTTAGCCGCAGAAGTCAGAATGAGGGCCTTTCTAGATAATATCAGCATACAAGGGAAGGGTGTATCATGTAGTTTTAAAGCGATAAATTATTTTTAAAAAAATAGACTATAATTAAAAACTTGAAGAATGCAAAATGATGAAAAAAAGTAAAGTATACCCGTAATCATAATGCAAATTTTGATTTTATTATTACTTTTGCTCCCACATATAGGAATGGGTGACTTGACACAAATCCCTCGAATAATCTGTAGTGGTTATAGGTATCTGCTAATGCTGTCTTACACGCTAGATTATAGAAATTGACATAGAAAGATGCATAGATACGAGAATATCAGTAGTGCACGCCTTGGCGCTCTGCTTCGATGATATCTTGATAGCGTATGACACCGCGGGGGTTCCGTAGTCGAGAATCTTGGGTATAATACAACGCTGCATCGCTTCGCTTACGTTAATAACTGTAAATCTTCATAATGTCTTGTGTGATGATATCGAAGATGGTATCTGCAAAATGGTCATCCACTACGTGCGCCTTGTAGAAATGAAAACTGCGAAGAAATCTCTATTTTTACAAAAAATTGTTCGCCTTCTCGGCAACAACAAAACTACCGACGAAAATTTAAATCGAGAGAGAGAGAGAGAGAGAGAGAGAGAGAGAGAGAGAGAGATTCAATTTAATAAATAAATGAATAATTTATTTTATAATAATAGAAAATTCCTTTGATAATTATGTATGATAAAAGCCGAGTGTAAACTTTTCAAATAATATTCTAGTTATCGAGATAATAGATAGTCACAATTTTTTCGAGTTTCACTTACATTGTAAGGAGATATTGCAAGGCGTGGATAAATACTATCTGAGTGATCAATTGCATTTATCGCAGGGTATACTTAGGAAAAAGGAAAATGAAAGAGGTAGCAGCAGACTTAATAATTGCTGAAGTCCCTATACATCAAAATCTGACGTAGCTGGATAAAACCAAGCAAGCTCGGTTTAATTAATGCGATTATATCGAGGATCTTTTATCATTCACACGTTGTTTTAATCAAACGGTATATTGTGCATTTTTAATATTTGCAAAATAAATCGTGTTAATTATATTAGTAAATGTTAGAGTGAGTGTGACAGTAATATTCTAACGATAAAATCAATCTTTATAAAAGTAGTAGAAGATTATTTGTGATCACTGTATTTCTATTATCAATTTAATCACGGAGTGATTAAAAATTATAATTATTATTTTTGTAATTATTATTGTTTTATCATTATGGCCTTATTAATAGGTGTTTCGAAATACTTAAGAAGAACAATATGATTTGTTTGAGTACAAAGTTAATCGATATAATTACATTCTCTCTTAGATTTTGCGTTATTTCACTTTGCGTTATTTCCTTTGCATAGATTTTTATATATTGTCACGTTCTTGCTAAAAAAAATGCTTTATAAAAACTTATAAAAACCTTATTGTCAGTTCTGACACGTTCTTTCCATCATAAAATCTATGAGGAACAAGACGTATGTATCATTCCCTTATCTAGTCCGCAGATTCATGACTCACGATCGCAAATACGAGATATGTGAAATCTCTCCCGCGTCGCGAATGATGTACGTTTAACTCTGTATACGAGAATGTGGAGGTCGCGATGTACAATCTTCAATGAAGAATTAATTATCCAAGAATTATAATTATCTAAGAAAATATATTTCAACTTATTTTAATTTCAAATCAATCTTCCTTTTCTCTTCTTCATGAAACTTGTGAATTCTCCAAGTCATTTGAAAAATGCCATTGCATGCTTTTTTTTTACTTGAGAGATAATGTTTCATTGCGCAACGCTGTATCAATGATTGTCATTCTGACAGAATTCATTCAACTTCACGCTCGAAACGAGCCATTGTTGCTTTATCCGTTTGTCCGTTTGTCCGTCAGTGTCAAAAAGACACTCGAGATACACACCGCCGTGGGTCTGAGGGATTCACAATGTGATGGACGCTTATCCGACATGAAATCTTTGAAACACTTTTTTTACGGAGACACCTCGGCCGGTGGGTCGCTAGTTAGATGCGTAACGCACTCCGAGTTCCTTTTATTGGCGAGATTTCAACTCGACGGTCCATGGCGAATGGGTTTCGAGTACTCGATATGCCGTGACTAATCGAAAACGCTGGAAGAATACCTGCAGGGGCGGATTTACGCTTTATAATACCCGTTCAATTAAATCTATAATAAACAATCTCAGAAAGGTCAACATTGTAATCTTTTATTCATTACAAGTATTAATTGAACACGTCAAACAATATACTTTTGTATCTTTTTCATTTTTATTACTTCCTATTTAATTTTCACTAAAAGTGAAGAGAGAAAAGAGATAGATTTTTTAATTTACTTAATTTTATCATTACTTTTTGATTCATAAATAAATGCGTTCCTGTATATCCCCGTCGTACATGTACGTTCGTTGGGATAGGTCTGACTCGTTGCACAACAATAGTGCTCGCCACAACGATACTCAGAATGCTTTCGCTCTGGTTACGATGACTACTTCGTCGAGATTCGATACGCCCATTCTCGTTTCTTACTATGGAATTAAACGTGCCGCAGGGACGTGACTTACAATGTTACTGGATCGACCTACGATCCTCCGATAGAGTGATTCCCTGCGGTTCAAAGAATCGAGTCATCGACGAGTCATCGATAATCGCTTCTTGATAGATCTGTAATTGCCCGTGTTCATCCAAATTTTTTTTGTTGTTGCGTATATACGAGGGTACGAAAAAAGTTCAAAAAGAGATCAATATTTTTTTTGTTGGAGAACGTATGGCGTGATTGAAGATTGTAACGTTAATGGTATTTAATTAGCTTCGTAATTATTCTCTCACGAAATCGTTTGATATGAAACACGGGAAGCACATAGATTTTTCTTAATCGCCTTACCTCACGATTCAACTTATCTCGGTACCTTTTATTGCTTTCCTCGACTTCCTTACGTTTAAACCAGAGTAGTACTTATCTTAATACGTCGATTTAACCGCTATATTTCATCGTATCGACTGCGCTTAGTGATGCAAGTGACTCGTCCGTTTATCGAGCTCTCTCTCGTAAGATTTACGGCGCTCGTGCTCAGGAAAGTTGAAAAGGAAGTGGGAAACGTATACGTGACGACTCGTCGTGATAGTTGTAATTAGCGGAGATCGCGCTTTTCCGATGAAGTTACAGCGATTTACGCTGATCTAAGTTTAATCCATAGCGATAAGTCGGCGGATGGATACGACTTGATCGTCGCCGACTCGACGATTCAATGCACGCGCGCGATACACGTAGATAAGAATTAAGAATTTACTAAGTTGCTCGCCGTGAATACGTTGTATATGCGTGGGTCAGAGCTGTTACCGCTAAACTGCGTGTGCTATTTTAGCGGTCAGTGCGCTAAGCAGGTACACGCTTATACACGCGCGGCAAATTGTATCGTTACGTATCTGATTCTCATATTTATAGCGCGCTTATTGAATCCTCCAGATTTCCTATATTGTATATATAGCTGATATGATCGCTCTTATGAAATTAATAGTTGATTATATATAGCTGATTATGAATCTAATAGCTGATAATTTAAAAAAAAAACTTCAATAAAAATTTAATTACTTTTTTCAAACCTAAAGAAGAAAATAATCATGTCTTGGTTTTTTTCAGAGCTTCGATTTGGAGACAATTGGAGAGGGGGAGGAGGTCTTGGAGAGACATCGGGCATCGGTGGAGGAACTTTGTGGTGAGTATTATTTTTTGCATAAAATTCCTTTTCGTTTTTTTTTTAATTGTTTTGAAGATTTAAAATGAGAAAATAATTAGAGAAAAAGTTTTTTAATATTTTATAAAAGTTTATTCTTATAAAGATTTTTTCGGAAATGATATAGTTATTTCAATAAATATCTGTTCGAAAGACGAATAAAAAATGTCATTGATACATAATAATAATTATTCATTAAAACATTGACTATTTTAAGCGTTGCTGTAATTTGAATTTTATATTGATATGTTACAGATCAACGTAGTAAATAACTCCACTGTTGCGCATCGGTCGGTGAGTGATAAGTATTTTTTTATCGTAACGATGTCTATGACAGTTCATTAAATATGTATCAACTGATGTTTTCTCTACATATATATGCATTTAATTACAATCAAATCGATAAAATTAAATCAATATTACACTTCATAGATCCGTTGCCTTAATAAACTAGATAAAGTTTAATTATTTAATCCTGGAGCATCATTATTCATCTGTGTATTTGCAAAGATATTGAGAGTTTATAAAATGTTATATCAACGCATCATTCATAAGTATACATAAATGGCATAAATAATACGAATTCGATTTTGATTTTAGAAATACTTTACTTACATGCGCGCTGTGATTTTGCGAAATTATAAGATAAAGTTGTAAAATGACTATTTTAACAAATTTTTAATATTTATGTATCTATAATATATAATGCGAAAAATATTATTAGGTGTTGGAATTAATTCGTAGCGTTTTACAAGTGATGGGAAGTACTTTCATTAATGTATTTTTTAATGCTCATGTGAAATAAATAACATTCTTTCATTAAAAAACGCTACGAATTAATTCCAACACCTAATATTATATTTTTTAATAGCATAATTTTATTCTATCAAAATGAAACATCTCAAACAGTTCGTTGTTTTACGAATGACTCTTATGATTCTCGTGATGATTGTCCTGTACGCGCATCACATCTGTCGTTACAGTAAATATTACACGTAATACTTTTGACGTGTGTCTCGGCACTATCTTGAATTCCGGCGTTCCAATGTCGTTCCATTCCGCACAACGCTCTGAAACTCGTGTACGGTGCGTCGCGTAGGTTGTCCCGATGCACATGAAGAATCACAGACACTTCACCTTCCATTAGCATTGAATACGATTTAAATTAACCCTACGATAGCAAATTCTTTTGGATATAAAAGGGCGAAAGGGAACAACGATCGAATAACGATAAAATGCAGATTTTTTAATATTCACGCAGTAAAATGGCATCATCATAGGTTTGATAAATTGCAGAAAATAAAACTGGTGAAGTTTTCTTATGATCGATTGTCTTTTCTCAATTTTTCTTTGTCATCTGATAATTTTTGCGTAAATAGAATCGTATATGTATATTCCGTCCTTGTTCCTTCAATTATAATTTTTTTTTCTTTCAGTAATAAGTTTTATTTTTCTCACACGCACAACTTTATTATACCTCCATCTTCTCATTGAATCCTGTGTGTAATACGATACCTAACACGCTAATTATATCAGAGTGCTGGTCCCGATATTACGATACTCCGCTAATTGTGCGCTCTGTATGACCTTGTTAATCGATAATTCGTTAAATTAGCTACTCTTATTTAAATATTTTTACGTTACAACGAATAGCAAGTTACCGCTATATTATTAAAAGCTATTGTGAAAAATTACATAATTATATTTCTAAAATTATATAATTATTTATATATTAGGTGTTGGAATTAATTCGTAGCGTTTTTTAATGAAAGAATGTTATTTATTTCACATGAGCATTAAAAAATACATTAATGAAAGTACTTCCCATCACTTGTAAAACGCTACGAATTAATTCCAACACCTAATAAAAATAACTTATGTAATTTTTAATGCACTTATTATTTTTTACACCTGTTCTACGTTAAACTTTTATATTATGTGTATCTTAATTTAATATAAAGCATTCCGGAGAAACCGTAAGAGAAATACGTGAAGCACGTGACATGTTTATCTAAATTATAGGAGAGCCTTTCGTCCTAATGGTTTCGTTTTTCCTTTCTCACTTTTAAATAATGTCCGTCGCCAGAAAGTGTCCCATTGTGTTACGCGAGAAATCTGGTCTTGTGTTCGCGCACTCAAAGCGCTCATGTTATTGACCTGGAAGATATTACCGGATACGATTCGTAAAGGTTTAACTGAGAGGAGAGAGTCCTATACTTAGTCGAAGCTAATTAAAAGGATCCATCGGCAGACCACGAAGGGTGCGAGATAAGATCGGCGTTGACGCCATGGTGAGAAACGTCGCTGTCGGGCGACTTTTCTCGAAATAGGGGTGAGAAATTTTGTGGCGTTTCACATAAATTCTGTCCCGTCTCGTTCATCTCGCGGATCAGTATGAGATATCGATAGGATGACGTGTACATTACAGGTTTCGTTGTCTATGACGATAGTTCCTAACAGGATTTAATCAATTCTACGAAAAGATTAGTATTGCTGAAGTATAAGTTTATCTAGATATAGAGCTAAAAATAATTTTATAGCGTCGAGTGGTTTGTTCAGTGCGATTGACTCGCGATTTGTAGATCCGGGTTCAATCCCAAGAATTATTTTCGGATCTCTATATCTAATTAAATATTTAGAATATAAATACTTTCAGTAAAATAATTTTTAAATCATATAAAACAATATAGAACTCTAAGTATTAAAAGCATTAAAATGATTGTATAGGTCCTATACAATCATTTTATTGCTTTTAATACTAATTGTACGAATCTTATATTGTTTTATATTGATTTAAAAATTTCCTATATTGATTTAAAAATTGTTTTACTGAAAGTATCTAAATATAATATATTCTAAAATATTTAATTATATTTATAGGACATATAAGAATCGATTTAACAAAAATGAGTGTAAAAATTATTAAGACGTCATATTAGAAATACAATATATTACATTACTAAATTTCGAATAAATACATAATTCTACAAGTTCTTACATGCTTCGGCTCTTGCATTGAGCTATCTTCAGATCATATATGTAGTAAAATAGTTAAAACATTTTTTTCGTACAGATTTTTTTAGTTTTAGATTTGATCACATATCTCAACTTGCGGTTAAATAAAAATTCTTCATTTTTTTCTCCTGAACTTTGTGATGTCTATATTCGGATATCTGGATTAGGAAATAAGTAGTAGATGAAATGGTAAACAAGAACGGAGAGAAGAAGATATAGGGGTCAGAAAAAGGAGAATGGTTTACATAATTTCGCGATATTATCTGGGCGCGAACATATCTGTTGGTTTCTCCGGTGCGGTGGAGCGATCTGCGCGGATTCCCACGCGTGTAGCGGAGAGCTCGTCCAATTTCGAGATTTCGGGGCCGGCCGGGTTAAATGTTAACATGGGAATTATGCTAATCGCCGTGGTACCCTCGCCATTGGGACATTCGTCATCCACCGCAGTTTTCTGGCCGCTTTTTGCGGTCGTACGTACGACTTATACCGACCGTTGGCTGCGCGTACGGAGGTGGTCCAGAAAGACGAGACGTATTTGAAAGTCTAATTTTTTTTACGATTTTCATGCCCAAGAAAGATCGGAGTCTTCCTCCGGTAAAACTATTCCGTCCGTTCCGCTCGGCCTTTGTTTTTGCTCCCAGTTGCTGCACGCATGCCGAATTCTTTCTCTCCGCTTCGTTATTCCGCATGTAATGGAAATAATTTTTTATAACTTGAACCATTGCATGATTCATCGTTTAAAGTCGAGAACGATTTATGTAGAATTGTATTCGCGATTGTGTAATTATCTTTGCTTTTTTATAATGTTGCCAAACTGTGTATATGTAGATTTTAATTAAGTGAGATTAGTATCTATACCTTTTAAGATAGCACGCGTAAATATGAATACATGCAAATTAATATCTTTAGATACTTATTTCCATTGGGAAATCTATGTGCGGAGAAACGATGCGAGAAAAATTTACTCCCACGTACGACACCATACAGCGGACGGTACTACGATCGGGCGGAGTCTACTCGAGCGATCACCGGAAATTCATAACTTAGCATCAGACCGACGAAAGAGGGTTAATCAGCAAAAATACGAGACGCGTTTTGTCGCAGCAGAGGCACTCGGGAATGAGCGTTAGCTGAAATATAATTTTATGTGGATTAGCGTGGGATTGTAAATTCGCGCTTGGGAATCGTGCGCGAGACGCAATCTGGTCACCGACGATTGTGTGGACCATAATAATATGTGGGTACCACGCCCTCTAAAACCGATGAATCTGACATTTGACCTCGGCAAGGCAAAAACCAGGAAAGGCGATCTTCCCCTCCGACGCGTAATCTCGCGCGTAATAATTTTGTTAATTTTTTTCTTTCTCTTCTTTTTTTCAAACAAAAATATACGCGTGTCCGAGATGTGAATGAAATTCGTATTTTTGTCGATGGTCTAGATGGACTCTGCCTGCCTTTGTCACCGCGGAAACCAGTTTGGAACTTTGTAATTCATATGTTTGCGAGTGATGTATGTACCACTTCTGCGAATTCTGCTTGCTTATTTCGCGATGAGGTCAGCCTCGCAAAGCTGTGCGATAAATTGGTGGACTATTATAACGGGGTATCAAGTCTTAGCAAGATATTTGATAACTATTAAATTTGAGCTAATTTATCAAAACTAAGATTCTATCCACTTACAGAGATTGATGACCGATTATCTTGTTTCTCCATTAAAAAAAAAAAAAAACTATAGTCTATCATCCCTAAATCGGATTTAAGATTAAAATTAGGTCAACTAGTAGCATTCCTGATTTAGAATATTTAGAATATTTATGGTCAACCTCAGCGAGAATTTGTATGTTGCAGTAAATACTATTTAAAAGACATTCACGTGCTTTTGTGTGAAAAGAGAGGAGAAGAAAGTCTCTTTGCTCGTGTGGTATCGAGGTGTGCAGCAAGTGTGTCCCTCTCCGCGGTGGGCGTTTCTTCCGATGATCAGAGTGGGAGAGGGTGGGTGGAGAAGAATATAGGAAGAGAGGGACGGGGGAGAAAGACGGAGAGAGGAGAGAAGCGATTCAATTTATGTCTCGACAATGCGGCTTTGTCTCGCCAAATTATCATACATGAACCTATATACATAATCCCATGTACCGGCGCATTATCATATCATAGCCACGCATTAAAGTACCAGTTCCTCTCTGCCTCTCCTTCCCACCCGCCTCTTCTCTCGTTGTATCAAGAGAGGCGCCTATGTTTATGCGATCGACAAAAGAAATTGCGGGTCGCCTCATCGATCG